TGTTTTTTCAAACAAACCGACGTTTCGGGCCCTTTACAGGTCCCATGATCACGGTTGACTGAGGTGGTACAGTCTTCAACCAGTTATGTCTAATATTGATGCAAACCACCCTATAAAGGACCTGTAAAGGGCCCGAAACGTCGGTTTGTTTGAAAAAACAAATATACGCGATTTAAATCCGGAAAAATAGTTTCATTCCTATGTATAACAATCGCGAAAACCTAAGAACTCGATATTTAAATTTAAATTTTATTGTACAATAATTAGTCCCGCAGACTTCATTTTTCACCTAGGCTAGGGTTGGCTGGAAGAGATCTCTTCTAGAGATAAGCTCACCTTTGTATATGTCCTTTATAACTTGTGTTTCATGTATCTTTTCTTTGTGCAATAAAGAGTTATTATTAAATTCCATTAATATTTCCACATCTGCTTGCAAATTGAATACAATGCATCTAATTTTATTTAAGACTAGTATAACAGTATTCTGGCAAATACACGTATTCTATTCTAGCTAATAATTTTGAGATCGTTAAATGATGTTTCGTTTGGCAGGTATGCGAGCGCCAACACCGCATGAGAAAATCCTCATCGACACAGCAACAGATTGCGTGGCCAAGTGCAATCTGCCCGGTCTGCTAGTCACCGAAACAAAATTCTTGCAACTTGAAAGCTTGCAGGTGAGTTAAATCTATACAGAATTCAGTATAGTGTCATTTCAAAGAGGTGTAGTGTCCTTGAAAATAGATGTTTCAAATGTTATTTGTAATTGTATCATTTAAGTTAACTTTTACCATATTTAGAAAGCGAAAACCGCAAAAACTTCAAAAAATTATTTGTTTAAATTTTCATTGAATTGATATTTACTTTACTTTACTTTAGTTACTGCCATAGTATAATGTCCTACGGGATTCTCATGTGGGGTAAAGCGGCAGATATTCAAACCATATTTGTATTGCAAAAACGAGCGATTCGATCTGTGTACCGTCTAGGCTCTCGGGTTTCTCTCAGAGAAAAGTTTAAGGAGACTGGTATCATGACTGTGGCATCACAGTACATTTACTCAAATATTTTATATGCCCGTAAAAATATATATAATTTCAATAAGAAAGAAGATATCTTTTTTTTTATTTTTTATTTTATTTTATTCAGGAAAACAAACGGTCACATACAAGATTTACATAATATAAACGATAAACTACAAAAAGACCAAGCTGCTCCATAAATTTAATACAAATATAAATTTAGAATGGAATAGAATATGTACACTGCCATGGTAACTTAACAAAAAAATACATATAAATATTAGAAAGGTAAATACTAGATAGGGAGAATGGTACTTCGAGCGCAAGTAATGCCAAAGAATATGTTTCAAGTTTAGGGTAATCTGTGAAAAATAATATCGCCCACTTTTTGTCTATAACTAACTAAAGATGTACAAAAAATGTCGACATCTTTCAACTTATCGTTATAAAACTTACAAGAACGTCTAATAAAAGTGTTTTTGGCGTAATTTGCAGAACTAGGATTGCAATAAAAGGTTTCTTTGTAACGCGAGGAGATTCTTGGGACACTAAAGTTAATTAGTTGTAATAAAGAAGATGAGTCAATGTTACCATTAATTATTTTATATAGAAAAACTTCATCCAAAAAGACACGTCTGCTGACTAGTGAATCAATATTGTATCTTTTGGCAGATGTTTGGTAGTCAATAAAACAGTTTCCGGTACGGTAGTCTAATGATTTCAGAAATTTGTTCTGAAGCTTTTCAATGCGAGCAATATGAACTGCATATTGGGGACACCATACAACGCATGCGAATTCTAATAGAGATCGAACGAAAGCATAATATAAAATTTTGTATGTAAATACATTACTAAATGGTCTAGTGAGACGTAAAATCAATCCTAGCTGCTTATAAGCTCTGGAAATTATATTATCTATATGACTTCTAAAATGCAGCTTGGCATCTAGTATCACCCCGAGATCTCTAATTTCATGAACACGCTTGATTTTATTATCAGAAAGAACGTAGTCATAGTTTATAGAGTTATGTTTACGAGTAAAGGATATAACAAAACACTTATCAGAATTTAAAAACAGTTTATCCTTTTCACAATATTTTACAAATCTTTGCAAGTCTGATTGCAACTTTAGGCAATCCTCAGGGGTAGAAATAACTTTAAAGATCTTCGTGTCATCTGCATAAAGCAGATGATGTGAGTCATGAAAACAAGAACCAACGTCATTGATGTATATTGTGAAAAGGAATGGACCTAAGTGGGAGCCCTGCGGGATGCCCGAAGAAATTTCAAGGAATCTAGAAGTATAGCCCTTCAAAGCCACAGCTTGACTTCGATTAGAGATATAAGAACATAGCCATCTAAGTAGGTCTCCGTGTATACCGAACTCTGATAATTTACCCAAAAGCGTAGAATGACAAATTTTGTCGAAGGCTTTGGAAAAATCGGTATAAACGGCGTCCACCTGATAGCCCTTGTCAAGCGCATTCAGAAGAAAATCAGTGTACAATACCAGATTAGTATCAACACTCCTACCTCGGAAGAAGCCGTGTTGTTGCTGCGAAATATGATGAGACACTGTAGTACTAAGATCATCCACTACAATCTTTTCAAAGATTTTACCAAGTACACATAACTTAGAGATCGGTCTGTATTGTCGCACGTCATGTTTATCACCACCCTTCGGAATAGGAGTGATTAGGGCCCTTTTCCACATATCAGGGAAATGCCCTTCCTTAAGTGATTTAATGTATATAATAGAAAGGGGGATAGATAGTTCCTTAGACAATTTAGAGATAAAAAGAGGGTGTACACCATCCAAACCAGCACCCTTATTAACATCAACCCGTCCGAGATACTTTTCAACAAGATTATTTGTTATATAAATATTCGAGACATTGATAAAGGATTCTAAATAAGTTGATTCATCAAGAACGGCAGACGCGTCGTAGGGGGGGCTGGCCGGAATAAACACGGAATGAAAATAATTATTAAAAAGATTGCAAATAGTTTCTCCGTCAGTAGCAGAGAAGCCATCCATGGTCATATAAGACGGTGTATTGTTATGACAAAATTTAGACTTGATAAAACTCCAAAAATATTTCGGAGATGATGTAATTTTTTCCTCTGACAATTTTATATAATCATTGTAACATTCTGTTTGTAATTTCTTTTCGCGAGAACGTAATAATTTGAACTGCTGATAATCGCGAGGATCATTATATTTTTTCCACCTAGAATGGATTTTTAATTTTTCACGAATTAATTTAATGAGTGCCCGGGAATAAAAAATAGGATGCTTGTTATTAAATACCTTACGATTTGGAACATAAACTTCAATTAATTTATGTATAACAGAATAAAAATAGGCTACAGCAGTTTCCGTGTCCATACCGTTTAGCATTTGCCAATTTATATTTGCTAGATCTGTACGCAACCCATCATAATCCGCGGCATGAAACATATATTTTAATTGATCATTGGCCTCTAAATGTACCGAGTGAGGGAGCGACAATAAAAATTCAATAGCCTTATGATGAGGGTCCTCTTTGGTTAATGGTGAAGCAACAGTAACGCGGCAATCGCAGTTACTTAAAACTAGGTCCAGTATGCGACCATTGGCGTTAGAACAATTATTAAATTGTTTTAAATTTGATAAACACATGAAATCAGAAAGTGCAGTAGCCTTGGGGTCATTATTTGCGTTCAAAGTGAGATAAGAACTCTCTGTTAATGACCACAAAGCGTACGGAATATTAAAATCTCCTAATAGTAAAAAAGAATCATCTGGAAACTGTAGCATCCGGTCGTATACACTATCAAAAAATAATTGCAATGCGTTTAAAAGAGCCGCACCGCGTTGCGGAAAGTATCCGCAACCTATATGAATAAAGGAGGGAGAGTGTGAGGCGCGGGAGCGGGCGCGGGAGTGGTGCGAAGGCGCCGGACTCAACTCTAAGGTTAGCCACAATTCCTCTGAGTCATTAGTGGAGCACCAGTCGTTGCGGCGGCGCACACGCATACCTGAGCGAACGGCGATCATAACGCCCCCACCCACCTCACCGCCCGCGTCATGCCGGTCGCGGCGATAAACATCATAATCAGCAGAGAAATATTCGGCATCCTTAAAATCTGGTGTTAACCAGGTTTCTGTCAAAATAATCAAATCGTAGTTATTAAGTAAAACATTTGATGAAAATATGTGACTCTTAGTACGTAATCCCCTCGCGTTTTGATAGTATATTTTAAGTGAATTTAAGAGGGTCATTATGATATAAAATAATAAACAAATATGAAAGCCTACAAATTACGCCTGAATACACATGATATAAATAGTTTAATATGAATATAAAATTAGTTACAGCAAAATTATATAAAGTATTAGTGTTTTTAAAGCGACATTTCACTTTTTTATAATGACATAGTATGTAGTTACATAAACGATTGACATTTAACGTACGAGTAAATTGTGAAATTGTAGAAGATATAGGAAATATTTGCTCACAGTAGTGGAAAAGATATTGGTACCCATTGCATATAAAAGTGGTAATACAAGTTAACGATATCAGATATGGATTTATATAAAGGAAGGTTAGTCAACGTAATTTAGAAAGATCTGATTCATTAGCCACTCTTATTATAGCGGACTTATCATTTTTACGTAAAAATATTCTACAATCTCTAATCCAAAGATAAGTGTAATTCAATGACGTTTTTAGATCTCGGGCACGTTTAAGAAGGAGTTTGTTCACAGGAGTTAGGTGCTCGTTAACGTACACATTAATTGCTGCTCCCGACATTCCGATATCAGCTGTAGTGAGACCACGCCGGGCTCGCACCGCCGCCATCAGCTGATTCTTGCGTTTACGTTGTGTGAAGCGCACAATAATTGACGGGTGGCGGGTATCCGTTTTACCCTCACCACGAAACGGTTGAACTCGATGAATAATGTCGATGTCAGTGTCTAATAAAGTCACACCCACCTTAGTGCAAATGTCGTAGAATATTGAATGCAAATTTTCACCGTTCTTTTTTGGAATACCTTGAATTTCAACATTATTTAGTCTCGAAAATTGATCCTGATTATTATTTTCTTGTTTTAATTCGTCAAATGCACGCTGGGTATCTGTTAATTGTTTTTGAACCGTAGCGATCGTTGCCACTTTTCTTTCGACAGTAAGCAGACGCTCATCCATTCCATCAACACGCACTATCATTTCACTCCACTTAGAATTTAAGTCTGATATATTTTGTGTGGCAATGTGTAGGTCTTCTTTAATCGATAACATATTGTCCTTCATTGTGACGAAATCCGCTCGGAATTCTTTGATCTCCTTTACAAGCTCAGCTAAGGTATCGTTTTGTGACTCCGCATTAGATGGAACAGCACGGCATAACACACAGCGCCATGCAGATTTTTTTTGCTGATTCATTTTCCTATATGTAGACTCAGTGACTCCAGCACAATGATAATGATAGCTTCCACTGCAACGTCCCCCATTACAGGCCACAACATCAACAACTGGTTCATTACACTTAAAACAAAACATTTTTGACTAATGTTGACAAGCGCTCGATAATCTCAATATAAATATCCGCATGCGCGCAACTGCGAGATGCGCGTGCGCAGTGTACAAACCCGAGCGACGGAATTGTATCCATAATATTAACCTTAGAGCTAAGTCCAAACTCATGGTACCACGATTTAGTTTAACCAAGGTAAACAACTCTTTTATGGGGAACTGTATACGTTTTTACAGTAAGATTCCGGAGCATATATTAAGTTTATAATTTCCTAAGTTTAAAACTACATTAAAAATATTTTGATCGAAAAATCATATTACAAAATTGAAGACTACGTGTTAGATAAAGATGTATGGAAAGACGACATGGCTCCAGAATCCACACAGATTTGATTCAAAGTGTATTCCATAGCATTTAAGTTTATTTGAAAAGAGCAATCCCTAGAGTATGGTTGGTACCCCCCGACTGGAAAACAGTGTTAGGTACTACGTCAGTAGCTAATGTAGACGAGACTTTAGAAAGTGACGTTGTTAGTGTATTGTGCAACCCTGCATGTGACTTTAATAAAAATGAAGTGAACGAGGGTAGTTTGTAGCTGTGTGGTCGGGCTGCCAGGGCGCAGTTTCCGTCGAATCACCGCCGCGGAATCTCATGATTAAGGACCACGAATTGGTCCGAAGCATGTCGAGCAAAAATTCGACTTAAATACGGTATTTTTACTTAATATGTCTGAGTCTCACGGTGGTTGTCTATTCTGTATAAAATCAGTAGAGTTTTCGATTCAAGTCGAAGATTTCAAATGTAATTTGCTTTTGACTTTAAGATATTAATGAGCCAAAATCTAATGTATTTTAAATCTTCTTCTGATCGTATCGATGACATACACTATCATGATTTCCGTCGTGGTGAAAGGAATGGTATTGTACGTCGAGCGGGTATGCTACTTTCGTGCATCCCGTGTATGTATTTAAAATATATCA